CTGGGATGAAGGATTACCAAGTTAGTTCAAATGAATGACCTTGACCAACTTTCAAAGGTCAAAGGGGTCAAATGTCATAAAATCTTCAAACGACTTCTTCTCAATAACCAAAAGGCCCAGGGTACTGATATTGGGCCTGTAGCATGCTGGGATGAAGGGCTACCAAGTTTGTTTAAATGAATGACATTGACCCACTTTCAAGGTCACTGGGGTCAGATGTCTTAAAATCTTCAAACAACTTCTTCTCAATAACCAAAAGGCCCAGGGTACTGATATTGGGCCTGTAGCATGCTGGGATGAAGGACTATCAAGTTTGTTCAACTGAATGACCTTGACCAACTTTCAAGGTCACAGGGGTCAAATGTCGTAAAATCTTCAAGCGACTTCTTTTCAATAAGCAAAAGGGCCAGGGTACTGAAATTGGGCCTGTAGCATACTGGGATGAAGAACTACCATGTTAGTTCAAATGAATGACCTTGATCCACTTTCAACCTAATGTCCTTGTTCGACAATCAAGGTCAGAGGCGTCATATGTTTAAATCTTTTAATAGGTTCTTATGAAATCTTAAGATTACAAGTGTTAGATTAATAACAGGTGAGCGATGCAGGCCCATTGGGCCTCTTGTTTTAATTTTACATTCAAGCCTATTAACACATAAATCCCTGCTGGTTCTAAGCTCCCATAAAAGTATGCCTTTTAATAAGTTCTAATGTTTACATGTATACGAGGGCAAGCGGGGTGATAAAAAGCCCGTAATGAAAGAATGCCTTCCTTTGCTAGTTTGCAGGTTACTTTGTTTCGCTAAATCTGTATGTACATACCAGGTACTTATTTACATGGAAATATGTTAACCCTTTCACCCCTCGGTATCTTTAGTAGACTCTACCATACATTCATCTGGATGAGTCCATTATGGTCTACGGTGGTTAAAGGGTTAAACTAGGCTATTCGTAGAATAATTATCACATTTATTGAAGTGAAGTTATATGCATGTATGTCACAATTGTTAAAAGGCGTTTCATTGGAAAATGTTGTTTTTTTACAGGGATCCTTGTTTCTGTATGAGCCCGGAGCACCAGAGTCTATGAGACAACTCAAGGATACCCACTATGGAAATTATATGGGCATGAGTTGTCTTTCCGGCAACGAATACATCGCTGTGAGTATAGACATAATTTTGAATAATTTATAGAAAACTTTTGTGCCTGAATTTCCTTTCCAGACATAGAAACCTGGGATATATCTGTCAAACTCTTTTGAATACAAGATACATATATGTCAAAATAAGGTACCATACATCCTTAACTTTTTCAGTCGAGATAATTTTGATTTGTCTTCTAAATGTCAATTTTGCAAGAAGGTTTTTGTAGGATGACACTATTTCCATTGCAAAATATGAATTTATAACATATATACATGTAATCCAACATTTATTATAGCATATATATATTTAATATGAATATATTTTAATTGTATTAAATCTTTACACGTGTATGGATATTTATATGGAGATTCAAACTGATGTTCAAAAGACAAAATAAAAATAGGAAAATATATATGGTACATTAAAACTTTGATATAATGCCCCTCGTTTCATTTGCCAGAAATTTCTCTGGACACATGATGGCAGCATAACTTGATTATACTGTATATATATATGTTTTATAAAAGAAAAAGTAAAAAAACTCTGGGCAGAAAACCCATCGTAGTTGTTCATTTGCTTGACCATACTAGAACTTTTTTACAAAACTGTGCCCAGACAGATATATGTGTAGAGGAGTTTGGATACAGAGGTAACTAAGAACGTTATTTATTTCAGTCTGTACGTGAGGATGGTGAAGTACAGGTGTGGTCAGTTGACAAGGGTTTCCTCCAGACGTCCATCTCTGTTGGACTTCAGGTACTGCACAGGCACAGAATCTACCTCCTTCGTTGCACCTCTGCTTTTCAATTTCGAGTTTTTTCACCCAAATTGAGGGAAAAGATGGATTCTTAGGCAGTGAACAATGCAGTATTGATGTTATGAAAAATATTTTTTGATCACAAAAAAAATATATTTGAATTGTTTTTAAACTATAAACGTGAAAATCCCAATGCTTCAATATATGTACAACGTCATCGTTAGAAAACTAATGGATCATAAAAGGCCAATTTGAAATTATGAGGAAAATTATAACTTGTAGACATCAGAAAGCAAAATACTGGATACTTGGTCAGTAAAAACTATTCGGAAATTGAATTTCTTTCATTTGGTTTGCTAGGTAGAAGAAAGATTTAAAAAGTTACAGAGGACATTTTTTAGCAATTTTTCTCTGATTTGTTTTTTAAAGTTTAATGTTTTAAGCCAAGGTAGAAATTCAGGATTTCCTGATAAAAAAGATTTTGCAGATTTTATCACAAAAATTCATGATATAATTATCTTTTATATTTCAGGCAATGTGTATAGCCTGCAGTCCCATGGTGAAAGTTGCTGCTGTTGGAGCCGGCAATGGCACCATCTACTTCATCGACCTATCAAACTTCGAGGAGCCTCGTATGGTCTCCTCTGTCCGAATGTTTGAAGGGCCGATAACCCATCTTGTGTAAGTATTTCATACACAAACCAATGTGAATTTTACGAATATGATACCAATTTACTGTGATTTTACAAATTCAAATCAATACCAGTCGAGATTATTAACAGAGACTGTTCTTTGGCAGATTATATATAACCATTTTCTGCATACATTATTTTTGAAATGATTAAATACAATTTATTATAAGTCTGCTCTGTATTCTTCTTTTATATTAGTTACTTTCTTTGTTTAGCAAGAAAACATCTAACATTAGCTCTGATAGAATTAAAAAGAAGATATTTTTGACCAACAAATTCTTCTTCTTCTTCTTTTTACCCCCTTTTTTATTAACAATAACAAAACAAGACACCTGTGCATGTATAGTACATTTCCATGTGATTTGTGGCAGATTTGAGCACCATGGTCGTTTTCTGCTGACGGGCTCAGATGACGGAAATGTCTTCATCCTTGATGGCAGACCATCCAAGAATTTTTGCCCAATTGGATTCACCTGTGAGTTGTATATAATTGTTTCAAATGCATCTGTGTCAATGAAACCTGTTGTAATGTCAAAAGTTCAAAAAATCTCTTACAATTATATTCTAATCTAAAAAGTTTACAGAACATTCAAACAGAGACGTAATTTTGATTTTCTGGTGTCATTTTATTCACCCTAGATTCTTTGGTATTTTAACCTTATAGCTACTTGTGTGGCACAATGCTCATAATTAACCTTTAACAGGCTTCAGTTATGCAGAAGTCATCCAGTAATGATTTCTATAGAAACTTAAGTTCAGGAATTTCATAAAGTTAAGGAGCTGTTTATGAGACTGGGCCCCTAGGAAATCATTGGGAAATTAACTTCTGCTATGTGGGCTCCATATTGAACTCAGATATATATATATGCTACTCTTGTTTGTATTAGCTTTATAGAATGTCTTTGGTCTATAATGAATAAATAAAATATTAAATAAAAAAATGATCTTTATTTAACGTTTATATTCTCAAATATTTTTTTTAATCTTGAATGGGGTTTTTTTCAACAGCCATTGTGGGAGAAATCCAGTCGATCTCTGCCATTACGGAGAAGGACGTGCTCAAAGTCGCGGTGACAGCTAACAACTCAGGAAACAAGCGTAATGGGGCCACAAACTTGATAACATTTGAGATCTCGGAGGCTGTTGTCGCCGGTGAGTGTCGTTCAGAAAAATTTAGAGTATTAAACACTGCTCTACAGTGTATATGATAATGAACATTTCAAAATTCAGGTCCTTGAACAAAATTTTGCATTATCCCCATTTTTCCTGGAGGTTAACTCATTCACCCCTGAAGACACATTTGAACTCTTCCAATTCAAAAGTTGGAATAGTTCATTATGAAATTTCAGGATTGAATGCGTTCATCATTATTATTTCATTGATTTCAATTCTATAAATCAATATATGTGCATTGAACTTGAATATTCTTGAATGACTTTGAACTTATCAATCATTAGACAAGTCCAGTTTCAAGGCATCTGACATGGGGTCAGTGTCGGCTGAAGGTATGTATGGTCGGAAGGATCACTGTGACCTATTAACCCATTCACCCCTGAAATTTCATGATGAACTATTCCAACCTTTGAATTGGAAGAGTTCAAATGCATCTTTAGGGGTGAATGAGCTAAATAGGGGAACAGAACAAAAGACTAATTTTGATTTTGGTGGTTGACGTAGTTTGATACAAAGGTGGAAGAGTGAAAAGGTTTATTTTTGCTAATACTGAAGTAATTATTTCTTGGTGTGTTTGTATATGTGATGTGAAATTTTAATAAAAGTGCCATTATCATTTTCATATAATCCCCATATCATTATTAATCATAATCAGGTTTCAGTGTAGCTTTATTTGTTCTTAGCAATAAATGATTAAAACTATAAATTACTTTTTGTATTGACATTTTTTTTATTTTATTTTTTTAAAATGACTTGAATCATTCAAGAATGATAGTCAGAACTCGAAATACACACCTAACTTTTAAAATGAAAATAATTGAGAAAAATAAATCTATTAAGTTCATATAAAATCAATATTTTATGATATGAAGTTAAAAAAAATAACTGTAAAAAACGTCCATTAAGTTACAGATGGATTTTTTTTTAAATATTAAACTGAAATTGATTTTGTAATTTTTTTGGTCATTATGCACACTTTGTATGTAAATTTGTCTTGGGTGTTGTTGAATAAACAAAAATGTTGGTAGAATATTTTCTGTTGATGTCATTACCATTTGTTTTATTAATAACCATCATTCCTTGGTCTATATTGTGTCGAAAAAACATGATGGGGGGGGGGGGATGTGAGTGATAGGTTACAAAAAGTATCTCAATGTTTTGTTTATTAAACCGTAGTTAAAACTATGAGCAGTTGGAGAGATACTCTCCTGTGTAATAATGTTCGAAGATTAGTATGAATAACAGATTTGTAGATTGAATATTTTCAAATGTCTTATATGGAAAAAAAATCATCGAATTTATAAAAAGCCTTATACAAAGAAAACAAAAGAAAGTATTAACAAGATCAGGAAATATTAAAATAAATCGTTGAACTTATAAAAAATGTTATGCAACGAAAACGAAAGAAAATATCAACAAGATCAGGAAGAATTAAAAAAAAAAAGTAGCAAATTGAAAAGTAAAGTTTTAACTCATTCTGGTCACGCTTCAATTTTTAGATTTGAAGAAGAACGTACATAGTCTGAAATATGACTTCAAAGATGACTCCATCAAGAAGCTAACGATGACTTTCTCCACGCCGAGTTACGGGGCAGCCATCGGGGAGAACCAAATCGTGTACACTATGGCACAAAACTCGAAGAAAATCCACCAGATCAACCTACCAGCTGAGACACCAGAGGTAAATTGTTTGTATTGCAATTTATTGTAAATGTGCTCAAGATTTTTGAAACAGAATAGTGAAGTTTTACAAGGTTTTAATGAAATTTGTATATACATGTATATGTATCTTTCATCTACCATGAAACATTTCAAAATTAAATTTGTTTTAGGTAGAAATAATTTTTTTCGGATCCAGACGTTCTTTAAAACCATTAATTAAAAATATCACTAGATTCTGTGCTGAACTTTTTAAATTTTAAGTAATGAGAGAAATATCCAAAAGATTTGATTTTGGCAAGAAATTGTTTTTCATTAGCCCTATGTACATATAACTTGTGTTTGTATACATACAAGAAAGTTAATGAAAAGAAGAAAAAAACATTTTTTACACAATTTTATGCTCTAACACTCTATGCCCCATTAGGGCAAACCTGTGGCTGTTCTGCCTGAGGCCGAATTCCTGGGCCACCAACTTCCAGGGGGTAAACTACAGTTATCTCCACATGGCAAGTGGCTGGCCACTTGTGGATCTGACGGCTCTGTCATGATCAGATCCACCACAACTATGGTAAGTATACTCTATTAAGTCAGATTTTGTAAAATAAGTAGTCTGGAAGTTTTTCATTTTTGCCATAGATGTATTTTTTTTATTTTGGAATTTTACAATCAAAAACAGTTAGCCAAGAAAAAGAAAAAAATACTGGCAATCCTTAGGTAGGTATTTTCACAGCATGACAGAGGTGTTATTTGTTTGGGGAAGAAAAAAAACATGAGAAAATACACTCTATTGTAAATGATAATACATTCAGAATGTTTCAAAAGATACGACTGAAAAAAAAAAATCGTTCAAACTTCAGTATTTTGGAATCATATACACATCAAAATTAATATTAAGATATTCTCCATCAATTTTTGACTTTGCGATATTTCAGGATCGCTTTATTGCTATCACTCCCCATGACTTCCACAACCGTGGAGTTAACGTGATGGTGTTTTCGGAGGACGGTCAGAACATTTTCACGACTGGCTATGATGGCATCCTCACTTGTTACACCTGGAAGTGAGTTATAACGAAATTAACCTTTATACAAAATTCAATGCAGATTATTAATGAAATATAAACTATTACAGTCAAGTTTCATAAAACCAGCCCCACTAATCTATTTGTCCCACAATCTAGCCAGCGTTATATGAGACAGACTGATATTTTTTATTTTTATATTTTTTCAATAATTTCAGCCTGTAAAACTCTAGAAGCCGCGTTCATTTTCTTTGGTATATTAGAACTTCAGCGCATTATAACTTTTGGTTTTATTCCTTGTGTTCCAGTTTCACCTCCGTTGGAATAGGGAAGGCTAAGTCCGCCATGGAGGCGTCACGTGCCCGCAAAACAAAAATGATGACCATCCAGAAAGATGAGGAAGAGGCTCTCGGAGCCATGACTGACTGGATGCCATCTGTTGGGTCACGACCTGTGTCAACCACAGCAGATAAAGAGGATAAGGTAAATCAGGCTTCTGATTGGTTAAAAAAATAAGAATAAAAATTGTAATAGCAAACTTAAACACAAATTTCATTCTCAGTGTACAAGGTAGTATATAACTAAATCTGTAAAGAATTTTTCCTAAAGAAAATAATAATGTCGTCAGACTGTGAATAAGTTATAGAAATTGGCAAATTCTTCTGTAAGTTTCTTTTAATACTGTTTAAAGAAAGTGTATAAGCTGTGAATGAAATCACATTGCTAAAATTTGACTTCCATGTTCATCAGGTCGCTAAAGCTATGGAGATGGCTCGAGAAACTGACGAAATCTACACGACGCCCACACCAGTGCCACCAGCCGATGCCACGTGGCTCAACATCCAGTCTATAGAGGTAGCCAGACGCACAATACATACTGTAGAATCATTTATTTTCATGGGTTTAAAATTTCGTGGTTTTTATATACTAGCCAGTTTCAAGGACATTATATTTCGCTGATTTCTGATTTTCCCCTTTTCTATATCATACCAAATATATGTTTTCGTGGGGATGTAATTTTGTGGATTTTTGTTACCCACGAAATAAACGAAATTTAATGTCCCACGAAAATTGATGATTTTACAGTATTAGTTTAATTGTTTGTTGCACAGATTATTCCGTCTTTTCGTTTTGCAGAGTTATCGTTCTTATGAGCAGGTATTGATTGTTACGTCATTGGTTTGTGTGAGAAAATTGCATCGTTTTCTCAAAAATTGATGACGTTACTCTCACAAACAAATGACGTAACAATCAATACCTGCTCACAAGAGAAGATAACTCTGCAATACGCAAAGACGGAATAATCTGTCATTGGTCTTCAGATAAATATTTAAACATTTAGTCATCAAGAAATTGTAACTTCTGTTATCAAACTGTGAGAGGCAGGTTAACACACTTTTACAAAAAGGTGAAAGAATGGAAATCCTTACTTATTCTTAACAGTTATGTTAAAATTTAGACTCTGGTCTTTAAATACAGCAAATATTTCACAAAATGTTCTTCTTTCAAATCTTTCACAGAACTTGAAAAAGGAGGACAATCAGTTTGCGGATGTGAAGCAGGACCTGAGAATGCAGATTCGAGAGATGAGGCGTACGGTAAGAACTGGTTCTCTTACCTCTGTGAAATCATTATGAACAGTTATTTTTCAGTATTCAGAATGACATTCATCAGTTCAGTATGAATGATAAATTCTAAGTTTGTTTTGAACACAAACAGAAATTGAAAACTTATTATGTGAGCTTTCCAAACCAAAAACTTTGCTTGACAAAAAATATAGACGTTTTCGAAAGCTCGTAAGATAAGTTTTTAATTACTGTTTGCACTCTTTGCTTGACAAAGGAAACAGACATTTTGAAAACGCACAAAGTAAGTTTTCAATTTGTGTTCAAAACAAACTAGGTCTTTTCAGATATTTAAGTCCAGGTTAAATAAATAGTTCATTATTTTTTATTTTTCTCTTAAAAAACCTAGAGAAGTTAGTCGAAACATGTTATTTTGAATTTTGCAAAAAAGAATATCTTGTTTCTAAACATTGGAAAAAAATGATATTAACAACAAAATTGAGCTTATACATTGGCACAAAAAATAAGGGATGCTATAGCCAAAGGAAGTCAGAGTTATTGTTTTATATTCACCGAGGTAGATGCATTGAATCAAAATTTTAAAAATTCATTATGTCCCCAGATTTATATCATGTAAATATCAACAGAATTTACACATTTTTGAAAGCAACGAGAACATTGTTGCAATGAGTAGTGTTGTTGACAGATATTGAGTTTGTACTTCTTTTAGAAGACTAGATCTTGAACTAAGGCGTAAATATAAAAAAAAAAAACGATTTGTTGTATAGTTTAATGGTGGTTCAGGGTAGTTAATAAAATTGAATTGAAAATTGAACTTTTACCCAAAAATAGTTTTTCAATATTTGTATTTTTTGTTTGTTACCTGGTTTTTTTTTTTATAAATTTCAGATTCAAGGCATGTTGAAACAGAATGAGGTTCTGCCCGACATTGAGAAACTTGGACGTCATGAATTTGACCTTGACATTGAGGAACAGAACAGACTCCAACAAGAAGCTGACGCAGAAGTTCAAAGAGTAAATAACAGTTTTTAAACTCTGTACAGACTGAAATAAGAATGTCTACAAATTTCACTTTTAAGCACTACAGTAAATATGAAGCTGAATATTATTTCTTAGGGTTTAAGACCAAGAGAATAAAAAATCACATGGAAAATTATTTTAAGTATTTATGAAAACAATTCAAAAATGTGTAACAAAATCTCAATGCATTGTTAATTTTATTGAAGAGTTTACAATACCAGATGAAGTCTTAAGTTTACATTAATGTTTTCCTAGTTGAGGAGGAGAGTGAATCGACCATTTAGCATGATTTTACTTTAATTGTTTTCCTAGGTCGAAGAGGAGATTGAATTTGACAATTTAGCGAAGATTTATCTTCGTGAAATGATCAAGAAAGAATGCTGGGATGAAATGAAGGTCAAAGGTCGATCTATTCAGGTATGGAAATAATGATCATGTATAAATTAGAAGTGAAGAATTTCATGCCGTCATTGAAATTAATCCAAGACACTTGTATGAATACGACAAAATTGCATTTCATGTTCAAATATAACAGGATTTTCTTCTTCAATGGTGTACATATACCAATCTGCTTGGTAATTGATATGCCATTGTATTTTGTATTAGTGTATACCAGTATAGTGACTACATGTATTAAAAAAATAAAAAAATAAAAGCGAGTTGCTATATCTATCTTCGAAACCAAATAAAATATTACATTGTCGTAAGAGAAAGGTCAAAGTACAATAAGTTTAAAGAGCAAGTTAAAATTTCAAGCAAGAATTTCGTTATTCATTTTCCTAAGTTGTCGGGAGCATTAGGATTGTGAAAAATAAAAGCAGCATTAATTCCTGACATTGTGTTGCAGGCCTTCCGTTCAACACTGGAAGTGAGTAACTTCCCGATGCGAGAACGCACCTTAGAAATGGAAAAACTTCTACAGACCGTCACGGTCCGCCGGCAGATTGAGGTGGCAGAAATTGCTGTAAGTATTACCGTTGAACTCATTCACCCATGAAATTTCATAATGAACTATTCCAACCTTTGAATTGGAAGAGTTCAAATGCGTTTTAAGGGGTGAATGCTTTTTCTAGCCTGTATACTTTTATATCAGGGTTAGTTTAACATGTACATGGTGCAGAGAGCGAAAGTGAGCGTAACCCCTGGAGTATCAAGGACGATGTAGATTCGTCTTGAGGAAAACTACAACAATGCATCAAATGTAGGTCACTGTGACCTAGATGTTTTGCTGACGTTGATTAAATTCTGCTTCTTCTTCATTTCTACAACTGAGGAGCAAGGACATATGTATATCAATTTTTTAAATATATATATTCGTAAGGATCATTTTTCTGCTTTTATCATATTTATTTTTATATATTTTAGGCAAGAAAAGCTGAGATTGAATTGCCCCAGAAACCCACTGGTACAACCACGGCGGTAAGTGTCTAAGATAATGTAAGCAAATAAAGGATGGTAAATATTAAGAAATAATATTAAAAAGTTGTGTTTATGAAGAAAATCCCCCTACTTTTATATTTAGAGACAGAATTTATCAGAGACACCTGTCAACCCTGGGCCAGGATCCTGTCAGGATTTGAATTTTGAAGCATACAATTAACGCACTGCTTCTTAATCTCCTGCTGTATATCAAATTTTAATGCAATACAACAAGAAATGTGTATGGGTATCAATCTTTAACTACCAACTTATTGAATTGGAATCAGGGGAAGTAACTCTGTTTATTCCTGTGTTTACATGTTGGCCACATTCGTTTATCTCAATCCAAACAGTTGACCAGAGTTGTTTAATTAGGAAATAAGGTCGGACCTAGTAATCTGGTGCTGCTTTCGGGCGAGCCTTGACAAAGCCGTATAAGGCATGCATAAACATTTGTAGGTCCGCCAGAATTTATGACCGAGAATGTTATATTTAAAAACAGACAGACCGGTTAAAAACTTGATAAGCGGAAGGGGCCATTGTGTCAATATGATATATATATCTATATTTATATAAAACATATATACATTGCTTCTACTCATGTAGCTTTTACTTAGTATGATACACCAGCAGATGTATGGTAATGTAAGTAACTGCAAACATGGCGTCATGGTTATGTGGAACATCTCAAAACCCTTTATAGGTCGTTGAGAAGGACATCTCAAAAATATTTTTCAACTTCAATCAAAATTCAAACGATACAAATTTCAATTCAAACAATACTAATTTCATTGTTGATTTCAATTTTCAAAACCAATACAAATTTGATTGATTGAATTCTGTATTTTGAAAATGAAAAGTATTGTGACCTTGGCCACGGACTTAGATAACAATCTAATTCCGTGCCTTGGCTAATAACCAATATGATGCCATTTTCATTACGAAGCATGATTGTTAATTTAGTCAATTTCCTGTTACGCTTTGTTAATGTTTTCAAAGGACACATTTTTGTATTATTACATGATGTTTATTGTCAAATTAGGGCTCAACATTGCTATAACATTGCAAAAGATATTTCTTTGTGAAAAATAATAAAACGAAAATTATAGTCATTTTGGGTCAAACCTTTTTAATGAAAAAAATGATTTTGGCAAGATGAGCCCTGAATATGACGCAATGTCCTATTTGATAAATTTTATTTATACATAGTTATTGATTATTTTATTGTAAAAAATGTTCACTACAATTTTTCTTTTTGCAACCAAGGCCTTAAAAATGTATTCACATATATAATAAGAATTCACTCTTTTCATCACCAACATTTTACAATGAATTTGTGTTAACTTTGAGCATTCATTCACATCAAACTTGTACATTAACTTCTTCATTTTTCCACCATTTCTCTGTTTAATATTTTTTTGGCTCATGTAAACTTTGATGACAGCTGTTATTCATTAACATTTTTTTAGATCCTCATCTATCAAATCTGGCCCTACACATTCTTTGATAAAGTTAACTTACTGGTACCCATGTTTTTGTTATCATCGTGATGTTATGCCAACCAAAATGTATTTGTAAATCATTTAATTCTAATTAGAACTAACATACATACATGTGATTGTAGAATAATTTCATTGAGAACTTAGACTTAACTTTTAATAGAATTTGTATCATGTGTTAAAGTAGTGATAGGCTAAATAACAAAACATAATTGTTTTTACTATTGCCCATACTTCTCTTATCTTTTTATGCCAGTTTTGAGAGGAAAAAAACAAAAAGAATTTCTTACATTTTTCCTCTCTTCAGTAGTAATTGTGATTTTTGTTATAATTTTCCTTATGTCATAAAAGTTGTACAATACTTACACAGGAAGATGACGCAGGTGAAAACGAGGATGGTGATGTAGACGGCAAGGACAAACCCTCCACCACTGGCAGCTTGGGTAAGTTAAGAGGCGGAGCTTGTATTGGAGGCGGAGTCTACAAAAAAGGCCACGCCCATTACAACACATAGGCATATGTACATGTTTTGCATATTTGTTGTAAAGTGGAAAATCTAGTGTACTTGTTGTAACATAGTTGTTGTGAAAATTTTAGTGTTGTGTGACGTAATTTTAATTTTCTGCACATATTTTATTAATCTATAATTATCACAATCACTTTAATTACGGATAGTCACCACACAATCCTTAAAAAGAATATACCTAATTACATAGCTAACTTTTCTTGTGAATTTTACCCAATGTTTGAACTGTTTGAAGGTTTTGTAGTTGATTTTGTGTGTTGTTGATCTTGTTGGTATTGAATTGTAGATAAATGTCGTGATGTTGAGTTTTCCGTGAGATTTTTGTGGTGCTTTGATTTGGTCGTTGTACAATATTGTTTAATTTGCTTTGGTAATATTCTCGCTCCATGGTGTTTGTGCAGAAATGCCGTAGCAGTCGCCTGAACTGTTCCAACATGATTTTGAATACCTATATGTTTTGTTTACGTGTGTTGTTTTTGTATCAATATTTCAGAAAATAGTATGGGTAAGTAAAATAATATACAAACGCTACAGAAATATCTAACTAGACTTAACCATACATGACAAAGAGAATGTCATTATGTATACCAATTAGTATTAATGATAGTACTACAATGTATATATATACAACACTATACATTGCTAGAAAAATTTAAAGAAATACTCAAAATTGGAACTTTTAATTTGATCAACTGAAGCGTCCCAATTTCCAAGCTGTGCTAAAGATGAATAGTAGATGTGGTTGTGCATCATGTTTGCATGTTGTTCCCCCCCCCCC